ACACTACACACACACACACACACACACACACACACACACATATATATATAGACATACCAGAAAGGATTCAGTGTTGCACCACAGTGTGGCTTGTTGCACACAATAGGGTGGTAGTGTACGGGGGGTAGATCTTCTTTAGCTTTGAGAGGGGTATATAGACACCCAATTGGTACTATTAATCGTTGCGCTTCTAAGCGTGACGAAGGCCAGACATTCCAACTGAATCGAATACCGTCTCTATCCTCATTGTCTTCTATGAAGTCTTGGGCGGATGCCATCTTGGACGTTGATGCTGTATGCTAGTATGTGATATGCATGTGCGTTCTCGAGTCGTCTATATGTATATTTCTATTGTATTCTGGATATGATCAGTGCAGTTGGTTTACTGTCCGTGTTCATCCGTGTTCATGCGTCCCCTTCTCTACAGTATTCACACACACGACTGATTTGCACACAAAGTCAAGTCTAGTCTTGCTGTAAGCCGTAAGGTAAATAAAAAAACATAAATCGGGTTTTATTATCGCCAACGATCACGTTGAAACTTCAAACTTGTGAAAGACATGTTTATTTTGCAAGTGACGAAGGCAATGGGGACAGCCTCAATCCGTTAAGGAGAGTCCAATGGAACATAAACGCTTATTTATTCGATTTATATACTTTAAAAACGTTTATATGGGTTAGAACTCAGAAGACTAGTGTACATTTAAAAATATGTTGATCTATGGTGCACCGGGGCAAGAACCTGTCCGGTTGAGGGGTCATATTTGATCTTAGACATGTCAATAACTGTACAATCCCGATTTTTACAACGGTTACGGCTTTCTCTCGTTGTCCCCAAAGACCCAAACAGCTTTCTTGTTTTTCGAAAATTTAAAGCCCATACAAAACCGGCTCACAAAGCCAAATAAAAAATGGGACTTTTTCAAACCCGCTCCAGTGCAGCTATGGTGCATTTTAGGCTCAGGCGAACAAGCTCATATATTTCATTGTCAGAAATATTGAAAACTTCCAGAGATATTCGGGTTTGAAAATCGACCCAATGGGGCAGGCACTTGCCCTTTTGACAAATAATTGGACACTTTAGAAAAAACCCCTCTGGGATTTTGAATACCATGACCTTAGACAATATAAACGTTAAACGTTACCATGACCCTTTACTAGAGAAGGGAAAAAACTGCCACAACGGACTAAAGTCCGTACGTAACTGTATATCTATTTGAAGTTTACACGTTTCAACGAAAAAACGTATTGAGGCTAGAAAAAAAATTGGCGAGGTATTTTTAGAAACCCTACCGTTGCACTGGCGAGGGGCGGCCTGGCGGCTGGCGACTAGCGAGGCGCAACGGATATTATTTATTTACATATTTCCAAAATATATAATTAACCACAATGCATACTTCTTGTGTTCAGCATATACTACTAGCATGTACTATAATTATTATCAGATCCAACATATAATACTATGCCTTTTAGACATTCCCGATAACTATTATATTGCAACACATACAACACTCCTTGCATTTCGTTTAAGCTCCCACTCAGAAGTACGTTTTTGAGAAAAATTAAGAGCGTTTTATAGTATTTTCAAAGTTTTTTGGTTTGGTTTAATTTTTTGACAAGATATAAACAAGCGATACAGGGAAGGAAGGGAAACCACCTCACTTTGTATATATGAATTTGTACCTGACTACACATACACACATATGCATGTACAACTCTCCCCTGACACACAAAACTTGTCTATTGGTTGAGACAGAACCACTCATGAGCGTGCACACACACGTATATATTTATATATACATACATACATACATACATATATACATACATACATACAAACATACATACATTCACGCATGCATACATACATACATAAATACATACACACGCATATATATATATATATATATATATATATATAGACTCGCACTTATACACACTAGCAGACAAATATACATACACACATACACACACACACGCGCGCAAAAATAAAGTGAGAGCGGAATATCTGACATTTATTTAGTGATATTTGTATAT